GCATTTGGTAATGATTATTTAATTATTTATTCAGGTGTAGACCGGCTACGATTCATTAAATATAATACAAGTTTCTTCGGGTAATTATCTCAGCCGCTATTTGCAGGGGAATTTGGGTTAGATACATTTTGAAATATCACATTCTGGAGTTGCCTCGGTATTGTATGTCAGAAGGATGGGAAGACGATATGATATTTCTTCTTACGGTGATATGCGAAACGCGGCACTGGAGTGGGGTAATAAGTAAACCATCTTGAGGATATTCCTGCGGAGGGAAGACAATCTTCTGATTCGGAAGACTGTGTATTTATCCATTATTCGTTGGATACAATACTGAGTACTGAGACCTTGCACTAGTTACTCCAACGTCTTGGAGAACGTCCTGGATACTCTTGATGCGGTAAAATATGTCCATGACAAATTGATGATCTGGAATTTCTCACGCCATTACCAATGATAAGATAGGGCACACTGAAAAATATTCCGATTATTACACGTAACAGCAGTGATAGAGAGATTTTTTATTTTAAGATGAACACTAGAATTTATGTAATGAATAGGTGATGAAATCATAATTCGATGATTTTGAAAAATTCGGCGGCTATTGAAGTATAATTTCGGATTATTTATTGAGATATTTACGGAAATTTATAGGTGATTTCTTGGGGATTTGTGTATAAGTTTAATATCAAGCCAAATTCAAATTTTATGCGACAGTGCTGAGGACTTTTCATGGAATTTTCTAGAAAAATCTCAACATCTCAATCGATTTGAAAAGAAAAACCCGTTTTATAGGAATATTTTATTTTAGGTGTTTATATAATAGATAATGTTGTGTATATATACCATTCAGGGAAAGATCGGCGCGCACGACGAGATAACATGCTTATTAATACTATCGTTAATTCCTGTTGGTGCACAGAAAGTAATTTATATTTAATTTATACTTAGATAGGATGGACCTTTGAAATTTTGTAATCATACGGTATTGGACTTTTAGGAATTTTCATGAGAACTCTACTATAAGATCCACTGACTTCAGCAAAAATTAGGTCTGGCAATTGCCCCCTAAAGAATGCAATTTTCATCAAAGAGAGAAATTATGCGCTGAGTTTGTAATAACAACAAGTTTATATTTCCATAAAATTTACTGCGAAGAAATTGCTGGAAAAGACCGGATTGTCTTGAATGTAATTATTGAACTTCTGTTACTAAATAAAAATACACTCGAATCTAGTAAATGTGATTTTAATTCTAGTAAATTGCTTCGCATATTTTTCAGTATTGGCCCGGCAATATCGAGAGTTAATTATCATTTTTTTTATACGGAATACTTTTGAGAGAATCCAATACAAATTATAAATTTACGGACGCTCTCAATTGAAAAAAGATATTTTTACGAGAATTCCGTTGATTAATTTTTTGCGCTCGCCAATTATTGACTAACTGTTTTACCCACTGCCTCGTTCATCCAACGATTTATTCCACCTGTTTGTAATGTTGTTGCATCATCAGCTGTAACGTATGTTGCGTAGTACCGATTTTTGCGGGGATCATGGAATGTGAAGCTAATCGTCGGATTCCCATGGATTGACATGGCGGATCAATAACGATTGATTTCGAAAATCTATTGGGAAAGAGATGCGATAATGGCACTGACGCTCTTCGGTGGAGTTCGAAAGGCACAAGCTGATAGACTTTTCAGAATAAAACTGATATCGGTAGATGCCATCGTCTCGTCATCTTGGAATTCTTTTGGAACAGAGGTAGGGGACGCAGATAAGGAATTCAATGGCCCAATTACGGTTCCACCAATAATCGGTGACTAATCCCGAAAAATATGCGTTATCGTGATAATATCGGTCAAGTACAATTCTCAGGCAACTACTTGACATTGCATTTGATACGAACGATTGCGATATTCAGTATACGAGCGGTATTTATATACAATTTTATGCTCCTTGAAATTTAGGGGAAAAATGTTTATAAAAAATCAAGCTTCGGGGTGAATTTCAGGAAATTAAATAAATTGCAGAGCGAAATAGTTGACGAACCTTTGGCCGAATTACTGAACGACGAATCTAAAACAGATCGATATGGATTTTCAATTTGTTCCCTGAATTTTAGTGGAAGAATGAATCGACAAATGAGATATTTTAGACATTTTGACGCGGTAAATCCAAAGAAGTCAAACGTCATGGTGAGATATTTGCCGATTCATTTATGATACATACGCTATTCATTCCTACGAATCTATCTTAAATAAATATTGCAGTTTCCGAGAATGTGAATTGCCGGATCAGCAAACACTAATGCCCTCCTGTTTATCACAGTTGCAAGTTGAATCCCTGCAGTTGCTTTGATTTACATGTTCCAGTACCAAACATCAAACATCTCATAATTTGCTCAGAGATATCAAGTAAATCTCGGCATATCAAATAAATTACGAAACCCTCAATTACCAGAAAGAAATTGTTTAGAAAGTCAACAGTTGAAAGTTCTCCGTTTTATTTCACATCTGCATTAAATATTGAACAATATGACTGCAAATAAACTCTGAAAAATCGGCAATTTCTCCTTCTCTCTGTAATAAAGGTCATACTCGAGTCACTGACATTGGCTGCAGCATCTTGACTCTGACATGAGATTCCTCTCGCTCTCTAGTGCCGAATAACTTTCACCAACTTTTCTCACGTTCCCCTCCAACCCAAGATACCACATGATTCCTCGGTATCACGAGGATTAATCCCAGTGCTATCCCACAGACTATTATCTAAACGTCAAATTAGTCACAACAACATATTACTCCCACGATAATTGAATATCTCTCAATGGATGTCAATGTCGCGGAATTCGCATGATTGAAAAATCGTTGAACGATCACATCATCTATGCATCGAGTTATTTCCATTAATCAATAAAAATTACGGGAATTCAGGTGAACGAATCCTGGAATTGTCACTGCATAAAAAATTGATGCCTCGGAATTTTTGGAAAACTGAAAGTTCCGGACATTTGTCCCGTAAATAAAACAGTACGAAATTTTAATTTTTCTGCCATTCTCTGGATTTCAGAAATTGTTGGGCATAAACTGAAAGAGGTGAGTGGAGTCTCGCCTTAAAACGTAAAATGCCAAGGCCACGGGAGTCAAAAGAGAGAAAAAAAAAAATGATGGTGTAGGATATAATCGTACGTGTCCCCCACATGCAGAAATGCTGAATACGCGGGCCGTAAAACGCAGACGGCACTGCGAGACTGCCAATATGGCGCAACTACTTCGACGTCTTGGCGTTTTTACAGAAGAGGAAAAGGAATAATCGAGATATCGACAGTGATGACATCCTTCCCACGTTCTATCCCCCCATGCAATGCCCTTTACATCTCAATTCCCTTTATTTAGCAACGTTTATCTGTTTCACCAAGATATTCCGTGCACTCCCACCATTTCATCCCCATTTTTACGTACAGTGGCCGGAGGGGGTGAAGAGGTTGGAGAATAACTGCGGACAAGTCGGAGTATCCTAGCACTTGTCTCATTCTTTTTGCTCCTCGAGCCCGTTGGCTTTTAAACTTTTTACGTAATATCCAAAATTTGAATTTAACCGCTAATTATACGACCCGAGCCACCCCACCGACGGCCTCACCGGGGTCCAACGCTAAAATATTCATCGTCTTGGTAACTGGAAACTTTTCCCGCTCCGACGGACCACGCAAATTTATTATACCCACTATCATCTCCATCTCTCTCTCTCTCTCTCTCTCGGTTTCTTTTCATCCCCCAAGTGTATCTACCACTGTAGTATGCATCAAACCGAGTATTCCCATGACCCAGCCTTTTCATACTTGACTTGAGCTTTGAGATTTTTTATTCAAATCCCACACTCAGGAAAAATTTATTTTTCTCAAACACCCGTTTACCTGAGAGAAATAACTGTTAATTATTTCATAAGCAGAGGAATTATTTTATAAATAGAAAAAGGCAGCTCTTTAACCGTAATGTTTCTCCATTTTTTCCCCATTTTTTTGGTGTCTTCGTCATCCGAATATGGTATTGCGATAATTGCGATAATAATGACTTATTCATGTTCCAAGATGATTGAATATTTCGATCGCTGATTGGAGTGTTAATTGTCTCTTTGTTTCACCGGGGCTTCCCCTGTGATTTCTTCCGGAGTTTCCCGACGCGGGAAAGGAAACTTTCTAGATTCGTATCTATCAGGAAAATGATTCGTCATTTTAGAAATTCGAGAGAATTTAATTTTTCGGGTTTTAATTCTTGTCGACCACGTTAATAGGAAGTATGATCAAATTTGAATAATTAAATATTTTATCACAATTGCTAGATCACTCGTGAAGAAAAAACCTGGAATAGAAGTTTTTTTGATAAGAATAATATATATATCCTGGAATTTCAGTGGTGGTTGACCACTAGGGAAATTCCTGGGTCTTTCTGTATTTTTGAATATAAAAAAAATAGCATACCGAAATCGATGTTAAATGATGGAGAGCAAACTACAAGTTGTTATCCGTTGTAGTATGGTGGTGGTCTTTCTGGTGGAGTGTGCGAGGCTTTGGTGAAAAGCGTCTAGCACACATGGTTCCATAGCCCTCGACAATAGGCATTGTGCAAACGCCATAAGCAGGAAGCGAAATGTGCGACAGGGCTACCTCTCTGCTGTATTGTCCGAGTGTCAGTGCAGGAAGGTATTGCAGTACTCCCCTCATTGCCAAATATCGTCTGCACTCTTTCAATTCCAACAAACACATTACCTTTATCCGCAAAGACAGTCAACACCTCGACCTCTGCAGATTGATGATCGTCAATTATCAAATTATTCACTCAGTTAATGAGACGCGGCTTTAGAAGGTTTGGATAAACACTTCATCTATAATCTTCGCCACAATTGATAAGATGTTTCGCGGAGAATTAGTCCGGGAAAAAGGAGGGGTACACTGATAAGCACTTCGAGTACTTGAATTTCAGAGTATAAATGCCAGCTGCGGCTGTTTGGTAATACAATCGAGGTGTTGATTGCACGAAGAATTCAAATTCGCGAGGCGCTACAATTTTTCGCATTTTTCAAAGCCCAGTCATGAAAGGTACGTTCAGGATATTTGTTTCTTATATTTATATATATTTTCGTTGAAGCGGATTTTAATGGAAATAATCAGGATGTTTCGAGTTTCACTGAGAATTCAAGGAAATTCCCCGACTTGCTCTGATTTTTGAATTATTCATTAACTCATTAAAAATACAAAACACTTATCGCAATCTTTCTTATTTTTGTGAATTCTCCTGGAGATGCGGGATTGAAATCTGCAGTTTATTAATTATTCAGTATTTTTGATTTTCAATTACGAAATTTTAAAGACCTTCATAATTGAAAACTCAAAATTCTCTCTAATCAAATAAAATTATAGGTCTCAGTTGAATTACTTCATAATAATTTTTGGGCATCCAGAAAATGTAGATAAACATATCTTGAATTTCCAATCAATTGAAAATTCGAGAGAGGTACGAAATATTCTCATGTTTTTGTTTTAAGTGTTCAATTAAACCTTTTTCCTGGCTAAATGGAATTTACTAATATTAATTTGGAATACCATTTTGGAATATAATTTCGGACTGCCATTTTAGGAATAATTTCTTTGGTCTGTGTACTCTTCCTTGCATCGGAGATCTTCGCCCAGACTCCGGGGCCTCCGGGTGAGGCCCCATGGCCGAATGTTAACTGCGATGTTCCTCCTCCCACACCCGGTGATGTCGTTATTCTTCCGGATCCAGAGTCCTGCAATAGTTTTTATATATGTGCCGGCCTGAAACCAGTTAAGAAATACTGTCCGAAGAATCTCCACTTCAACCAAAATAAACGCGTCTGCGACTGGCCAAGGGATGCTCATTGTCATCTTGGTTACCACGTTGCCAATTAACTATTTTTATAACTTAAATTAAAAATATACTGTTTTCATAATTTCTGTTACACCTCTTCGTGATGTCTCGACTGTAATAAATTAATACTCACCAACATACTATTCGAACATTCATTAACGAAATGCGCGAAGAGCCGATAAAAGTTTTAATTCTGCATCTAAAAGAAATATCCAAACATTTCCGAAATATTTACAAATATATACAAAATTTCCGCAACTGCTGTTGATTAAAAATTCCCGAGATAATTCTCTCGAATTTCCAATCGAATGAATTCTCTGTGGAAAACATTTGCATCGTAAACTCGTAAATATTTATTAAACTAGTAAATCTTGATAACAACTTGATAATGAATTCTTATAATTCGTAACCGTCCAACACCTATTCCTCAAATCTAAGTACTTATGTTCCCAGGAGGTTAAATAGTAAAATTTCACGAGAATTTCTCTGATTCATCCGCACTCCCTTGAATAATTCATAAAGAACCGACAGTCGCTAGTAATTCCCATGGACCCATGAGTTTATCGAAAATATTTAACAGCGAAGATGAATGGATGATTTGGAAATGGCATGTTAGGTTGTAACCGGATGTTAGATGATGTGAGCTGTCCAAGTGTGAGATCTTAGAGAGAACGAGTTGAAAGTCCTGAGGGATTGTGAGTGTGCGATCGAAAGGTGTAGTAATGCCATGGAGAAGAGAAGCCAAGCTCCATGCTGAGTGGAAGCGCTGGAGAAAACGCCAGGATAGGAGATCTCATCCGAGGTACGACACTTAAATTCCCTATTTCGTGTTAGACTCAATGGCAACCCCGTCTCACCCAGTCTATCACATCTACACAGACTCACCTTTTCCGTATTCCTCCGTACCTTCTCGTCCATCCGTTTACTTCCTCCAATCTCTATTTCTTTTCTTTTTTCACCAAGTAGGACCAACAGCGGGTGCAGGTAAACGAGGATATACACGAGAATTGTGTACCACCCTGGGTGCTTCCATGTCGTTTAATGTAGTGTATTCTCGTGGTAAATCGAGAAATGACAGAAAACCGGGACAACATCCTGGGGAAAACTTATCCAGAATTGTCATCGCTTGTTGGTTAATATCAATACTCAGCAGTTTCGATTTTAAAAAATTATTTCATTCGATTTGGAGACTGGATTTTTATGTGAAAAGGATTCTGCGGAGGAATTTACTTATTTGAATGTAGAGATGCGTTTGCGGCGGGATTTTAGAGTTGAAAGTTTAAAAAGATGTTTATAAACTTTTATAAAAAATTTTTAGAGGTATTTATTCCGATTGGAGCTCAAGTCATATACAAATATTATATTATTATTTTTAAAAAATGTATAATGAAGATTAGGATGAGAATGATTAATTCTATTAATAGTTGTAATTCTTAAGAAAAGCAGGTAGTTTTTTTCCTCGTTTCGGATGAAGTTCCATTGTCCTTCTACACATACTTGCAGTTTCCGTTCTATCAAGATCTCAAACAGGAGAAGGATTTTCTTGAATAAAGACCAATTTCCTTAATTCAAGGGGCTTTTTGTTTCGTTTTATCTTGAGGTCTTCCTCCCTTCATTTTGCTTTCACCAGCTGGTGTCTTCATTGCCTTCAACTTCGAACTCTCTTCGAAAAACTTGCCTCATCGAAACATTCTCATGTTCTCATTCTCATTTGCAATTTCATCGTGCATATTTTTTCGCTCACTATTGAACAAGTTGGAAATTGTAATCAAATGACAATTCTTTCGAAATTTGAAGAGAACTTTCTGATTTGAGAAAAAAAATCTATGAAAACTCAGTGTGGAAAATCTTGCAATGAAAGTTTTGGGGTGAATATGAGACAATTTCATTACACCATAATTTCCCTGGAATCTTATGAAATTTTTGTCTTTCCTCGGTCCATCCGCGTAGAAAATTCGAGTAATTGATAAATTGTATAATCCGTACGATATATTGAATACCTGTTATAGTTAATTCCATTAAATCTACGAATTTTCGATATGAATGGAAGCTTTCATGGAGGAAAGTGAATTAAACTCCACAATATTGAAAATGAAGTTACCGAAATCGTTAGTGAAGACTAAATAGATTTTCACCAGTGCACTTCACCGCGATCCAACATGAGTTGAAATGGTATTTTTGATTGAAATATTTCATTCATCTTTCATGTCTGAGCTAGGGCATTTCTTTATTCATCTCCCCTTTCACCTTGTCACCCATACAATTCGTCTGGAACTCTTCTCCATCGTTACTCGTTGGGGAAATAAACGTATACATCAACTCAGTGCAATATCCCCCCGTTGTTATGGTGTTCCAGGCACGTGCAACTGTATATACCTACAAGTGAAAAAGGAAAATCACTGCCAGCAGAATGTTAATGGGATTCCATTCTGCAGTAAATTGGAAACCGATTGCGGATAGCTTCGTTTTGTCACATAACGTACATTTAAATGAGATGGCAAATGGGCCCCGTAGATTGTCGAAAATCGCTCGAAGAAATCTTAAGGTATTTTCACCCGCTTCTTTTAACTCGGTTTCATGTCAAAGTAAATACAATCTCTGGTGAATGTCTGCTCGAGTAATTATAAGGTACAATTTGAGTTATAAAACTTCTGGTGTTGGCGTGTTGGTGATCAAAAAAATGGCTTAGCACGAGATCCTACGTACCCACACGATTTTCCAACGCCTATATTATATTGAATGTTGTTGCGTGCCTCCTAGATTCTACACACCCGTGCATTATATCCACCTGGGGGGCAATTTTTCCACTCGCCTCAGACTCCACTATCGCTCTTTCATCAGGAAAATAGTTCCCTTCTGTTTGCACCTTTATTTATGAACGGTCTTCTGAGTTTTTGCATTTGCGTGGATAGTCTTGGTGAATTTTATCGCCACTTTCGCCTCAAACTCATTCTAATTCACCCAACTGATAAGCCATATTTATCGAATTTTATCTAGGTCAGTTGCAAACCAATTTATGTACTTTATCTATATATAGCTGATCTCTCAATTTTTATCCGATTTTTATCTCAAATAGAATTCGAGGGACGCTTTAATTTCAATTTGTTGTAATGCGCGCTAATTGATCCTATCTTTTGCAAATTATTATTTCAGTTGATGTCCAATTTTTCAATATTTCCCAAATGTAAATTCATCAACTAGAGTTTATATTCGCTGGTTAAATATAAAATACAAATATATCATGGTTATTCGGAATTACGAAGAATTTATTATTGAAATTTTATGACTGGCGCTGTATTTTTCTGGAAATTTCTCTCCGTACAATGCAAATTGAAATAATGTTTGAACCCGTAATTGAGTTGCGATTACCGGTAAAATGGGGCGAAGATAAATCCGCAATTTAACTGAGTTGTACTATTTGTAGAAAATAATTTTCAACAGATGTGAAGCCTCCGCTTATTCGTATCGTGGAAAACAAAGTTGTAAAACACAGTTGGTTTTAGTGAGTAAGAGAGAGTGACGATGGAATCAAAGTTTGGAATTTCATGGGACACCCTGTACACGAGACCCTCGATGCTGTTTCTCGCATCACCGTACTGGCCAATTACCCCACTAAATATTCACAAGTTCATTACGCGCCGAGTTGGAGCGTTCTCTACGCGGCTTGAATGCCATATAGATGCATCTGTGTGAGTAGATGTGCTGTATGAGATAGCTGTCGGCTAGTTTGGATGGTCTGTACGCTTCACGTGGCAAATCAAATATTACCGTAGAGGACTTGGACCACGGATTCGGAAAAAATGTCGAGATTAAAATCAAATTTGATTGACGCTCCTGGCTTGTGGGTCAAAGGAAAATCGCTCGAATGGAAATGAAAAAATTGCTGTTTTCATACCGCTTAATTGCCTCTTATCATTTATGAGGATTCCGGGGAAATCTCTGGCTTGATGCGTGTCATATAACTGAACACAACGAGGAACTCTTCTGCCGATTTTCACGCTCTTTACCTTGGAAACATCATAATTACTAATCACTTTATGAGTGACATAAGCCACTGTAATCTGCCGAGTACATCCGCTGTTCAAATTTTAAAAATCGAGAGTTTAGTGTCGATACATACACCAATACCTTCACTTGGTTATTATTAAAAATGGAGAAAGCCCAAAATAATTTTGTTTTTTGGAAGATTTTTTTCGGGGGATTTTGTCCAGTGGATTTCTTTCCGGATAAATATTTCCGGACAGGAAATTTCCAGCGCGTATTCCTTCGAATCTAATAAACCACTCAATCGATGTATTGAATTACCAACGTACCAAAAGCAACTCATAAACCCTGGCAAAAGAAAACCCTGAAAGCTGCAACACTGAAAAACACCTACGAGAAGACGTTCTCTGGAGTGGGATAGTACCGGTGGCTCGTAAAAATTTAATAGATCGTTCAGTTCAAAAGCGACACCGTCTCTTTTACGGCTTATAAATGCTCCGTTTGACCGAAAACAATTTCCCGAACGGGTGAGCCAAGGAGCGGGTGGCATTCTGGACATGCCACATGGTACAACGTATTCTCCAAATAATAGTAAAATCTCGCCCTCTCGTTTCGCCACTCGAGAAAACCACCGAACAACTTTTTCACGAGTCCAATGACTACATCGACACATGCTCCCCTCAAATCCCACTCCCCGCCACTGAAAAAAAATTACTGTCTCCATTATATTGAAATTAAAATTCATTCTAAACGTACGTTACTATATCATCATGTATGTCAGACCTTCCCGTAACTTTCTCCAAGAAAAATCTATAAAGTACACGTTTAGTATATATTTTCCACCTATCCGTAACTAAATGCCCATGATTCCTCAAAATTATAAGGATAGGCCCCGAGAATAATAACGATTTCTCTCTGCACAGAGTAAATCTACTTAACCGAAGTAAATTACTTTACCCAAAGAATTCGTTTTCATCATGTGGATCTTACCCAATATCTTTGGTGAGACCAAAAAACCGGTCAGAGCTGAGAGACAGAGAAAGGCAGAGCGAAAAAGTACGGGTCGTTGTGAGTTGGCCGTAAACGACAAGAGTTTACTCAAGATTC